TATTATTAGGTTCAATTCTGTAGTATGTTTTTATAAACACCATTATTCATCATTTAGTTTTGGTGTGAGTGATATAAACGCCAAATTCCTTGAATATTATTTTGGTAAAAGACTAGGTGTAATTGATAGTGTATTTGGTGTAGGTGATTTGATGTAATTGATAGTGTATATTGATTGTTAATAAACACAAAAAATTGGGATAGTTTTTTTGGGTTTATGTTCTGATGTAATTGTATATTTTATAACGTATTTAAACACCAACTAACGTGATATTTTTTTGGTTCATCTATTGGGATAGTAGATAGTGTATTTTCTGATATAATTTATATATTTAGGTCGTATATAAACACCAACTTTCACGGTAGTTTTTTGGTTCATTTATTGGTGTATTTGTGATGTATATTCTAGTATAATTGATATATTTAGGTAGTATATAGGCATCAATTTTCATGGTAGTTTTTTGGTTCATCTATTGGTGTATTTATGGTGTATATCCTGGTAGAATTGTTAATTTTAGGTCGTATATAAACACCAACTAACATGATAGTTTTTTGGTTCATCTATTTGTGTATATAATGTATTTTCTGGTGTAATTGATATATTTAAGGTCATATATAATCACCAACTAACATGGTAGTTTTTTGGTTCATCTATTCGTGTATTTGAGGTTTCTACATTGATTCAGGGAAAAGGGCTCGAGTTGCAGCACTTCTATTCTTAATGGACAGCAGGCTACCACAAATGATAGCCTTTTTTCTAGGAATTTAGATAGTGTATTTTTTGGTGTAATTGATATATTTAGGTCGTATATAAACATCAATTTTCATGGTATTTTTTGATTCATCTATTGGTGTATTTTATAGTGTATTTTGGGTTGTCCAAAATTATTTTGGAGATTGATTAACAATAAATTGTAATCTAACACATATGTAAGTACGTGGATTACAAAATGAGATTTCTTGTAGTCATGCAGTTGCTGCTATCAGATACAGAAACAAACACCGCGAAGATTATTGTTCAGCTTATTATAGTTCTAAGACTTTTCAAGATACTTATGCAATCTCAGTTGATCCAATGCCTTGCCAAAGCACTTGATATATTCAATCACATATTATGGAAGAATAGTGTTACCATCAATTGCAAGAAATCAACAAGGCAGACCACCAAATAATGATCGTAAGAAGGAATTCAACGAAGGAAAATTCAAAAGGTGTAAAGTCACTTGTAGTAAATGTGGTACACCAGGGCATAACAAAAAAGACTTGCCCCAAATTTGCGCCTCAAAATTTGCATTGGTTTTTTTTTTTTTGGTTTTATTTTGAAAAAGTATACATTTGAATCTATTAGGTTTTTGTTGAAATTCAGATTTTTTTAATGAATGCTAATCACAATTTAATCCATATTTGGCTAATTAGCTAATTCATAATAAGGATCAATTTATAATAGTGGTGTAATTATTATTGTAACATTGGTGATCGATTGCATGTTGATTTACTACATTATGATTTTTTTGGTGAAAATATGATATAATTGTTCAAATTTATTGGTGGTATATAATGGCTGAATTGTTTGTATTATATAATATTTGAGGGATGATTGACCTTAAGAGAAAAGATAAAAATGGTGAAAGCATTAAACTGGTGAGAAAAAAAGAATGGTGAAAATGATGAATATGAATGGAAGATAGAAAGACAACAATGGTTACAATTTCTCTCCAAATAAAACTAGATAGGGAATAATGAATATTTAGAAAGAATAAATTGTTGTAAAAGTAAAAAGGTTTTACTTTACATTCATCGAATTAAAAAGGAAGAAAATAAAATAATATCATTCAAGAGGTAGTAATGTGTGCAAACAAAACTATAATTGGGAGATAAATAAGGCATATAATCCCAAAAATAGGAGAGAAGAAAATCAAATTTATATAATTAAATGAACATAAAAATTTAATTATTCTGCTATGTATGTAATTTATAAACTATGTTTATAATTAAATAAAAGTATGTGCATATATTGTTAATTAATTAAAGCCTTAAGTAGTATATTGCTCAGAATATGTCACGACCCAAAATGAGTTGTGAGTGACACCCACACTTAACCTCCTAAGTGGGCGATCCAAGGAATCCAAACCCTAACATATATCAATAATTCAACTACGAATAACAACAATAATGTGGAAGCTCAAAACTTATTAAAGTAACCAATCAAATAAACCTCTAAAGTCTAACACTTATTATCCCCAAAATCTGAAAGTCATCACATCGAGGACATCTAATCTTCAAATACTAAGTCTAAGAGTATTAAAGACACCAAAATAAATGAATAAAATAGTTTATGTCCGAAAACTAAGGACATCATGCCATGACCAAGAGAATCCAACACGAGCTGGAATGAATAGCTCACCCTGGAACCTGATGTGCTGGAGACTGGCTAGAGTTGAGGGCGAGTCGAAATCACTGATACACTCGCTGCACTCCACAAAAAGAAAACAAAGAAAAACACAAGTAGGGCTCAGTACAGGG